CTACGTTATTAAATTTGAAATTCACATCTTCTTATAGTTTATTGCTCTTTATATATTATATTACTTTACGTAGAAGATTGCATTTTTATAAATATTTGTTAATTTGATAACGTCTAAATCAACATTAGAAGAAATTAATAGGCTTTGATTTATAGTCCTTTACTCACTACTAATAACCTAAATATTTTATGTGATTGAATAACAAGTATCGTTGTCGTCACAATTAATTATTCATTATTATTCAGCGGTTTAGCTGGTAATTTTTTATTGAATATTCTGGACCTCTATGCTATTAGAAAAAACAACAACAGGTAGATATCTATGGCGTACATTTAGGAACTCCCGTATCTGTTGAAATAGCCCCACAGTGGCACAGCGGTATGTCTGCGGACTTACAACGCTAGAATCCGGGTTTCGATACCCGTGGTGGGCAGAGCACAGATAGCCTATTGTGTAGCTTTGTGCTTAATTACAAACAAACTGTCGAGTTAAATCGTAAGAAAAACAAAAAAATGTTTTTTTAACATTAAATTCATTATATAGAAATCAATACTTTGCATGCATATACTTATTTAGATTTAAGTACAATCACAAGTTGCAAATATTAATATAAGTTTTCTTTAGGCATGTATAGGCTACCCTCAATTTCTGTTGCGTAGAATATCGCTTAAACACATTCATGACATACAAACTGAGGTGTGATATTGACACAGTGAACAGAGTTTTATTGTGTATTTGTTGTGCTTAGCACAAAGATACCCGATTGACTAACAGCGTTCTGCCCCCCCCCCCCAGTGGCCCAGCGGCATGTCTGTGGACTTACAACGCTAGAATCCGGGTTTCGATACCCGTGGTGGGCAGAGCACAGATAGCCCATTGTGTAGCTTTGTACTTGACTACAAACAAACAAAAACATTTTCGCGCGTAGAAATGAGCTCCAGATTTTACCGTTGTAAGTCCGTAAACCTACCGCTGAATAAAAACACCTCACTTACCACAAACACGAATACTGGATTCTTTGTACAACTTCTTTTAAAGACACGGTAAAAACAGTGAATAATGAAACATTCTCATATGACCTCATAAAATTGATAAATAAACATATTTTCATCATTCTAAAGAAAACAAGTTATTTAACTTTCTAAGTTACTTTATATCTATAAAAAAATATGTGAAATTGGAGTAAAAAAACCGTCTTAAAGTGTGGTTAACAGCAGAAAGTGGTAATATTTGTTTGTTTGTCTGCTGTTAATAACATAGCTATTCAAAGGGCTTTTTGTGCTGTAACCAGTACGGGTATCAAAATCCGGATTTTATCGTTATAAGCCTTCAGACTTACCACTGAACCACTGGTGAGCAAAAGTGATAATAGCTTTCTGAAGTGAAATTTTTTCGAGAAATGGTAATATCTCTAATGTAAAAATCTTCTAAAAGAGGCGTAATAGCGACATAGAATAACCTAATTTTTAAATGTGGTGATATTTGTGTTCGGTAAGACTCTTTTGAAATGAGATAATTGTGGTATAATTTAGGATTTTGGGACAAAATCCTTGCAAAAATTGTTAATAAGGCTGTAGCATAAGATTCTCTCTAAAAACTGATAATAATACTGTGACGTAAGGTACTCGTTTAGAGTGATAACTTTATTATAAAGGATTGTTTGTTTGTTTTTGAGTTTCGCGTAAAGCTACACGAGGGCTATCTGCGCTAACCGTCCCTAATTTAGCAGTGTAAGACTAGAGGGAAGGCAGCTAGTCATCACCACCCACCGCCAACTCTTGGGCTACCCTTTTACCAACGAATAATGGGATTGACCGTCACATTATAATGCCCCCACGGCTTAAAGAGCGAGCATGTTTGGTGGGACGGGGATTCGAACCCACGACCCTCGGATTGCGAGTCGATCGCCCTAACCACCTGGCCATGCCGGACCATTATAAAGGAAGATCCAACATAAAACAATGTTAATATCTCTCATTTTCTACGTTTGTTTGTTTGTTTTGAAGTATGCGAGCAAAGTTTCTCCGCTAGCCGTCCCTAATTTTGAAATGATAGACTAGATGAAAGACAGCTCCCACTGCCAACTCTTAGGCTGTTCTTGCCTGTCCGAATAGTCGGATTTTGCTGTCATTCTTATAATGCATTCACCCCGACATGCGGAGCGCTATTTTATTCTCTTCTTTTAGCAGTAACGGGACATGAACAAGGTATTTGCAGATCCGTGGTCCGACACGCTAATCACTTGAAAAACTGGACCACACTTGACCCATTTTCTACGACATTTATATACCACTTAATAAAATAATCGGTTATACCATTGAGGAAAAGTTTCTAATAAATGACCAATGAAATAGTTTGTGGATTATATGATCACTTTATTTTTATTTGTTTGTTGTAAAGCACAAAGTCGTCCATCGCGAGATCGAACTCCGAGTTTTAGCGTTATAAACCCTCAATATTACCGCTTAGTTATTCTAGGGCAAACACTTTGTCTTAAATTATTGTATCAGTATTATAGTTTTTAGGTTTACTTACACGTATATATTTTAAAAAATACCAATTATCTATTATTAAAATGATATCTTTTCCACTGATCAAAATTTATATATATGTATTAGAAAAATGTAGAGATAATGAAAATGCGTTAAAATATCAATTGTAATTACACTGCACGCAACGATCTTTTATTTATTTCAACTATGATAAGGCAAAACAATCACTGTTATCAAATAATGTCAGTTACCCCTTCAGTTCACTTTTATATAAATTAGGCATGTGGTGGTTTGTATGTAATCTGAAATTAAAATGATCATTTGGTAGTGGCGACTTTATCTTTTAACAGTTTATAACACTTCACGTCAGTATAAAGTATGATCATCGTGAACACTATGGTCAATCTAGCAATAATTTTGTATGTCTAACATCAGTGTTGATAAGGTCCTGATTATGTTTGAGTATTCCTATAAAGGATCTATTTGTCCAGAGCATTTATAGTAGCTTCAGTTAGTTGATGGGATGCGATGAGTCTACAAAGAGTATCCTGTACTTGACAAAACTTGTGTACAGTGAGCGTTCAATTCACTCCATTGGGTAAACCTTCTCTCCTTCACATAATGTGTCGACATTTTTAGCATTGTGCAGGCGAGCTTTATAATCCAGTAAGGTGAAATCATGGCCAATTGCACATCAGGATTTGGCGGCACATCGGTTGAAAGACGTGGTCCCTTTACATTGTGACATTAATGACACCATTCTAAAAGATTCAAAGTTAAGTGAGTTCATCAAAACTTCTGTCCACTCTATACTTCCATTATCATCACGTGCGTCACATTTTGCATGAAAATAGAATTTGATCTGAATCCACATACTCTACAAATGAGTACATGTCTGTTAACCTGTCTTCAGGATGAATCACTATTCAATTGTAAAAAAAAGTATATTACCAAAAACGTGTCCCTTAAAAGTTTGTTTCCATCATCTGTACACTTTGACAGCGTCAAGTTGCGGCTGCGAACATTTGATTTCTTTTTGAAGCAAATACCCTGTGATTGCTAACAAGTTAGAATCGACAAATAGCCATCGTTTGCCTGTGTGAAATGTGTATGCCGGTCTGCCTTGTTTAAGTATCCGAGAAACTCCACCAGTTGTTGCCCCCAGTGGCACAGCGGTATGTCTAGAAACGCTAGAAACCGGGTTTCGATACCCGTGGTGGGCAGAGCACAGATAGCCCATTGTGTAGCTTTGTGCATAAATTCAAACAAACAAACCACCAGTTGTTTGACGTTCTGTTAACGATATAGCCTGCTGCCTTCTATTTATCAAACTTCTCTCCATGAATGAAACAAAAAGAATATTATTTGAGGTTTATTTCTTGTTCATGAACAATTTGAGAAAATTTAATTTCTGTGATTCACTTCAAACTGAAAAGTGAAACAAAACTATGTTGAACAATGTATATAACATACGCTGAATAAACAACCATCTACTTTAGAGATAACATGATTGATCATCACATAACTTGCATACACATTAATTGATAAGATCATTAACGTCATTAAATACAGTGGCTTTGTGTAGTCGTGACTATAATGTTACATATCCCAACTTTCGTTGTTTATGTGCAGTATAAATTACAAAAAATATAATGATAGTCAACGATATTAAAATAGTAGAATCAATTTTTCATTTGTAAATGTTACAATCGTCTATGCAGGTGAGTAAACTTTACCACACACCCGTATCAAAGGATATCCCTCAGTCAACAGTTTGGGAAAGTCTTACGCACATACGATATAAGCGTATCTATTCTTCAGTCACTCGTGAAAAAGGAAAATAGACATTTTGTAGACCAAGTCAAGTTTATACCTTCACAAATTCTTCCAGTCGAGTATCTAACACCTTCTTACCTTAGTAGTATATGTTACATGTACATAATATATGTTACATTAGGCACACATTTCTTTTTATTTGAATTATGCGATACAGTTTATGTTATCGTTACATTGCAATGTACTGAATCAATCTTGATTCAGTTGTCTTAGTTAAAAAAGCCATTGGACCTCAATTATACGGTCAGTGAAACTAACCCAAAAGTGTAACTTTCTACGTTTATTATTATTTAAGATGAGAAACTTTCAGCACAAATATTTCGTTAGACCGACTAAAGCTCCAACCCATGTACTCGAAGTATATATCTTACTTTAAGGAGTCACCTCCCAGTGGCTCAGCATTACGTCTGAAGACTCACACCGCTAAAAACCAGGTTTCGATAATCGTAGTGGGTATAGCACAGACAGCCCATTGTGTAGCCTTATGCTTAACAACAAACAAACAAACTTTAAGGAATAAGAGGATTTTGTTAAATAAAATTGTAACGCAGGGGATTGTAGTACTAGGGAATCATTATTAGTTGTCCAGAAATAATTATGTTAAGTGTATAGGCTAATTCTACTTAGCTTAAATACCTAATATGAAACATTAATAGGAAGATTAAAACATACCTCTTTCTAATATTGAATACTGTATCCTAGCCACAGCTTCCAGGATAAGGTGAACATCAGGAAACGAATATTCATTGCTTTTAATAAACGTAATTCTTTATGAAAGTTTTTTGTCAAAGCTAGAAGTAAGATAAGGAAAGGAATTTATCGATCATCAAAAACTTGAGTTTTATGTTTGTACAAGAAGAATCACTAAGCTCCCCTACCTATATGAAACGTAAGATATCAGAAACATTGCAGACAGCTCTTTCCTCGTCCTTCTTCCAGCACGTGACGTTCACGACTACTTTAAGTAAGCGCGGAGGCCGCAAAATAACCCACGTTTTAAGCCCCGGATCAGTCCAACCGGATAAGGGAGAAGACGTCCTAATAAGAAAGATGAATTCATACAAAGTTATTAACTCTGTCAGACAATTTATGTCCAGGCCAGAGGACCGTCTTTTATGTTCCTAAAAATGAACAGACGAATATACATAGAGTATGGCAGAGCATGTGATTGATGCACTAAATGGTCCTGTGGCTAGTGATTTAACACAGAATTGTGCGTGTTTTAAGGTTTAAAATTAGTCTTATGAATCAAAAAGTTGTATAGAAAATTACATCGGCTCCATAAAAAGTAGCTAAAATCTTCCATCATATATGTATATATCCCCTAAATAAACAATCATATAATAAAATTCGTGTATGAATAAAGACTTGCGACTGACCAGGGGCGCAGAAGAGGCACGTGCTACCCCACTTTGAATATTGTTTAGCCTCGTCTGGCTCGCAAGCTCTTCCTTATCTATATCCTTGCCCTCCCCATATAAACACTTAAACAAAGTTATCACTTTGAATTAAAAATTTATGGTGCATTACATCCCCTTAAGAAATACGACAGAATATTATGTCACGGGATAGTATTATTCAATTCTAATAACAAAAACATGAATGAGCATTATGTTCAATTATCTATTTGTATATCTTGTAATAAACAAACACTCATGGAAACTCATTTCAAGTTAGCAATTATTATATCATTATCCTTACTTAATGCTAGAAAAATTCAAGTTCAATATTTATTTTGTGATTAAGAAACTGGAATATCTTAAGCTCATAACAGGCGTTTATTTTTATTTTTTAAATTATCATAAATCGCTCAACAGATGGCAGCATTTACTTTGGAAATTTTGATTAAAAAAATAATAAAAAATTCTGGAAGAGTCTTTTTTTTTATAGCAGGTAGCTGACAGTTCTAAAGGACAACGGCATGAGCGAGATTTTTATTTATTTAACTTGAAAGACAGAAAAATATAATTTAATTTCATCTAATGTTTATGAGCACATTTATAGAAATATCATAACGATAAGTGAATGATTTAAAACTTGATGTCGTTTTCTTTATTAAATTTATAAACCTTTGTTATCTACATAACAAGTTAGCTAATAGTACAAGACGATTGTATGCCACTAATTAATTATAAGCATGATCAGGCATCATGTTCGCCTGTGAAACAGCGATAAGTCTATGGACTTGCAACATTCAAATCCTGGGTTAGATTCCTCGCGGTGGACACAGCAGATAGCTCAATGTGGCTATGCTATAAAATAAACAAACAAAATAAATCAGGCATTAGCAACTAACTTTATTCAAAGGAAGATTCCAGACAAGAATTTATTTTTTCGTTGAGAAAATATTAAAAGTGGTATTAATCGTGCCTCTCCGCCATATTAGGTGCTTATGTGTTCAACAATCAGTCGCCAAGTATATCTTACCCTAACTACTTTAGAAGAAATACATCCTAGGATAACTTGAGATGTGTTTTAAAAGGCCAAAGTAACATTATTTTTTTAACAGTACGCAACATAAAAAAAGAAGTCTTAAATTTCTGGAATATGATCACTTATGGTATGCACGACTTCTGAAGCGTTCAAATCGTAACTCATACTCCCGTGATGACAACCATTCTTCAAATAAATTTTCACAATCAAGCGAGGCGGCAGACACTCTGCCTAGTTTTTTGTAATAATCTTATATACGATCATATAAATATATATATATATATGAATTGATATTGTGATAAAAAAATAGTCAACTTTGAGATTTACATTTTAAATTTATGATGATATATCAAAAGCTTTCTCAGGTCACAGACTTTAAACGACACTTTTAAAATGTCTCTGTATATTAAAATATCGAAAATATTTTATTTGCAGCTGAATAGACAAAAATACTCGTCAATAATGCAATGCTGAAAAAATTAAAATTTCATACAAAATTATGCGCGTTGCTATCACTAAACTTATTGGGATTTAGTCTTCAGATTTACAACGCTATAATCAGTGGTTCGATTCCCCTCGGTGGACACAGAATATAGCTCGATATGACATTTTTATAAGAAAACACACACACACAAAAAAGTATCAATTTTTAGAAGTAGATCATCTAAGCTATATTGTTTAGGTGATTGAACTCAGCATTGGTATATATATAAGAAAAATGATTGACCTGTAAGTTATTTTTCGTTTATATAATTACTAATTTGATAAACGAGTTCTAAATAGTTTACACAAGAACGTTTGTATACTTTTCTGAAATATAAAAGCATCTCGTGTTTATTAGTGTAGTTTATGTTTCGTAAATTAATGATTTGACTCATTAAGTCTCATTTTACGAAATGTTTAGTTAACCTAATTTATACAGGTGTAGAGAAAAAATTGTAGCCTTTAGTGACCAAGAATTCGTAGTGATTTCACTCAGTAGTTTGAATTTTGGTACGTTTGTTGTTTGTTTGTAATTAAGCACAAAGCTACACAATGTGCTATCTGTGCTCTGCCCACCACGGGTATCGAAACTCGGATTCCAGCGCTGTAAGTCCGCAGACATACCGCTGTGTTACTGGGGAGAGGCGAATTTTGGTAAGAAGTGATGAAATTGATGAGTAACTAAAATGCTATATTGTTTGTTTGTTTGTAATTGAGCACAAAGCTACATGATGGGCTATCTGTGCTCTGCCCACCACGGGTATCGAAAACCGGATTATATCGTTGTAAGTCCGCAGACATACCGCTGTGCCAATGGGGGGCAAAATGTTGTATATAGAGAGAGACTATTTGCAAAATTATTTTGCATTATGAAATAAAATTCCATATATAGAGAGAGACTATTTACAAAATTATTTTGCATTATAAAATAAAATTCCATATATATAGAGAGACTATTTACAAAATTATTTTGCATTATAAAATAAAATTCCATATATAATACATGTGAAGTATCGAAATTATATTTCGAATATTATTTTTGAGAAATTTGTATCATTGTGACGTAATACACATAATAAAAAGCGTAACACAACAGCAAAGTTGTGTTATTCACGCTAATGTAACCAGGGTTAAACGATTTCAGTAAATAATGCAACATAATTATAAAGTTGAATACCCAGAATGGTAAATGCAGTAATTCTGGTTATTTAGTTGAATTATTGAATGTGAGAAGACGATATGTATAGGGTGTGACAAACTTTTTATATAGTTGACACTATATGGTTGGTACAGGTGGTATAGTTGGTATTATACAGTTGGTACAGATGGTATAATTGACATTATACGGGTGGTACAGGTGGTATAGTTGGTATTATACAGTTGGTACAGATGGTATAATTGACATTATACGGGTGGTACAGGTGGTATAGTTGGTACTATACGACTGATACAGGTGATATAGTTGGTATTATACGGTTGATATCACTAGGTACTCGATAATAAATCGAGTAAACTGTTGGTGTTATACGGATGGTACTAAAAAGATATTACAAAGACAAGTAAAACAATTTAATCACTGTCTGTGTCAGTGTAAGACGTTAGAAATTAAAATATGTTCTAAATGGAATAACTTTATTGTCACTTTTGTTTCACGTTGTAAGTACAGTACATATATTGTTTGATGCATAGGGCAATATTACTGGTGGCTATTAATGTATACTAGTGTGTAGCCCGTCAAAAATGACGGGACAAGTACTACCACCCCACCCCACTGTACACCCTAACCTCACATTTCATAGCTAACTGAAATAAATAAATCTTTCGAAACCAAGCAAAATTGACCAACAAAGGGGCAGAAAAATGCAGTCGAGGCAGTCAAACGTTGGTAAATTTCTTTCTAAGTCAATCAAAATTAAGATCATTCATGAAATGAATTCGTGGCGTATTCATAGAATGATTATTGGTAATAATCAGTTAGATTAACAACTTCTAATACATAGAAAAGCCAGTGCGTTATGGTAACACTATGTTACAACAATGGCTTTTTATGTCATGTTGCTTAGCAACAATAGTATAACCTAATATTGTTATTAGTCTATGCACTGACAGTATAAAATGAAATGTACAGACAACAAAACTGGAAAAATATTTGTTGATTTCTTAACTTAGAGCCTCCGTTGATTAAAGAGGTTTGTTTTTATTGTAAACGTTTTTGTTATAATAGAAAATAGCTTAATTCAGAAACGATTTAAGTTTAACATTGAATCGACATTTTTAGCTTTGTGATAAATTTTATGCACTTGACTCTAGGTTAGGTGATCCCAACACTCACTACACTTAAAAGGTTTCACGGCACCCTTCTTAACCGCCCCCTTGCACCTCCGTCACTAAAATCGTAATGGACAGACAGTAATCGAACAATTCTATCGGGATAAATGCATTTTGATTTTTATGACTCCTCCTATTTCGATAAATCAAGCGTGACGTGACTCACACCGGCTTTTATATAGGTTACACGAGATTTTGCTTTCCCAGTAAATTGGTGAGTAACTGAGATGGTATATATAGGGAGAGATCATTTGAAAAGTTATTTTGCATTATACAACAAAACGTGATATATCGATTTTTTAAATTATATTTCGAATAATATTTTTGAACAATTTGTATCACTGTGCCATACATGGGTATTTAACGAAGATTAAAGGTATTTTGAAAAAAAACAGAAAGCTATATCTATTAGACAAGTCATCTGAATCTTTCTTAGCGCGAAGCAGTTTAAATATCATAGTTTAAAAATGTCAAAACAACTGCCATCTATATCATATTTGGGCTAAAGAATAGTGGGATTTGACTGTCACTCTTATAATGCACCCAAGACCATAAAGTTATCAGTATATTTTTATGATTAGGGGCTGCGAACCATGAACTCTTAGATTTAAAATCCAAGCATACTAGCCACTAAGATAATTCTGGTCCCAAAGTATCTTAGAAATACATCCAGACTATTAGTGAACCCATAATAATTATAAATCAATAATTAAGGATTGAAAGAAATACAAACATTTATTAAAAACATTCCTAAATTGAACTTACTGGAACAAGTACTCAGCAAAGTT